ACCAGTTCATGCTATACTAAAGCAAATAGGAAATGTTCTTCTAGTTCTGAAAATTCGCTTTGAAATTTAAGTTACAGAAAGAAAGAGAAAGAAAATAAAACAAACAGCATTTTTCACCTGATGGTGAAAAAAAAAATCAGGATTTTGTACGCTGCAAACATGTAAATAAATATTAAAGCTTTTCCTCATTTAAACTGCATTTGGAATATCCTGCCATTAGTTAAAATGACAGAGGAATACAGCTACCTGAAGTCTATGTAAAGAATCTCTCTTTAACAGGCTTTTAAAGATTGCAAGCCAGAGCATCTAAAAAGCACATCCCTGAATAATTTAAGGCTCCTGGCATCTACATTGAAAGAGCTCCTTTGCTAAACCTGGAGAAAAAAAAAAAAAAAACAACACAGAGGTAAGAGAAAGAATAAAGGTCGTGAAAGATCAGCGACAAAATCACTACTAAAAAAAGTATTTTTCCTATCTTAAAGTTTAATCAGACATGGAGAAGCTCGGATTCTACAGCCAGCCCTTCCCATTTACTGTCAACAGCTGTGGTCTAACGTAAACATTTACCCCTTGGCAGTGTTAAGTTAAGGCTGTGACGGTCAGGGAAACAAAACAGGAACGAAATGAAAGAGAAGGAAGGAAACCGATCAAGAAGGTGAAGCACAGCACAAATCCTCATTAGCAGAAATTCAATAACAAATAAAAAGCAAAAACCAAGAATTTATCATGAACTCTAAATGAGCAACCTACATTTCAAGGCAAAAGAAGAGAGATGAGGAAAAAAAAAAAAACACTACAAAACTCAAACTCTGGAAGAAGAGACCAATGTAAATATATATTATTAAAATAAAACAAAACACGATTATGCTATTAAGACACCAGGCAATCTGGTTTGGTGCAGGGTAATCCCCATTTATAACCAATTGTACCAAGGTCGAATTACAAATCAGTGTACTGTTGACAATACCAAGTTTTCTCTGTCAGCTACATCCTTTAAACATCAGCAAATCCTACCTACTTCCTCTTGTGTCTGTCATAGAAACCATCCAAACAATGGGAGCAAGCAATCTTCACCTCAACAGCTATTGACTTCGAGCAAACTGAACACTTTATCCATTTTTACTCCTAGATTGGAAAGTCCTTGCTGTTCTACAGTATCTGAAAGCCTCGCCACTGATTACAACCAGTTCAGGATCTGGCTCCTCCTCAGTATATGAAAATGGACTTGAAACAATAGGAAACCTTATCTGAGGAAGTTAACACGGGTCACCCTTCTCAACACGTGAATAGTGACTTTATACTGAGAGAAAAACAGCTTAACTAAATCTTACAAATTAGGGAAGAATTTAGAAAAAGTGTCACATACAAAATGCTGATTTTTAAAGCATTCAACTTCTCGGAGAAACAGATTTTGCATTTTTGCTTTACACTACTTTTCACATAATTGTTAAAAAAACAGTCACTAGGATGTCACTTGAATGTATAGCAAACAAGTCACCTGAAGTGTAGAAGCAGATTCAGAATGGGGCAACACCAACCTGCCTAACACAGAATTTCCAAGTAAATCTCTGTAAAAGTGATTCCTCTTTGTTTTTGTGGATTTTTTATTTCTTATGAGAATGGAAATGAAAGAGTAAGAAAATCACACTATTTAATATGCAATTGCCATATTTTTCCAGTATAATTGCAAGATGAAAAAAAAGTTTGATACACGTTTTTCTCCTTTAGAATTCAAAAAGTTCAGTCATTGCAGAAAGCAAAAGGTTATGGAAAAACTTAACTGCCATTTGCTTCTCAAATTTCATCCAAACAGACTAGTAGTTAATCTACTCCTCATTTTTTTCACTTTGAGCTAAATTACAAAAAGGTTCTTTATGATAGCTATTCAAAGTTTAAAAAAAAAAAATAATAAAAAAAGATAATACAAGATGGACAAGATGGAGCTTTGGATGCTGTAAGAAAAAAGAAAGGTTTGGAAGTGCAGACATTTCTAAAATTATTATGGTAGGAAGGACCTCTTTCCAGAAGACATAATGGTGTAACAAAATAAATTCAACTTTAAACACGTAAACTGAGGTTTAAAGCATTAAGGGGAAGTTTGACGTGCTGGATTCTTAGCTAGTAGAAATATGCATAATTCCAGTAACGTCAGTAATATCACGTGAAGTTATGCTAGCTGTTGATCTCACTCATAATATCTAAAGCCCACACCTAACTATAAATATATATGTTATGTTTGCTTTTTGAAAACTGACTGAAGTTTAATAGCAACTCATAATTGAAATATTCATGGTCCCAAGCTAGCTTTGAAGTTAAATCCCTAAGTGGATAAAGTGGACTGTATATCTAATCTAAACTAAATGTTTCTCTTAGTTACTAATACCACTGCAGTTTCACTAGTTAAAATCATTATTACAGAAAAGAAACACAAAACCCACAGCACTTTAAGGGGCATTTGATCCTGCTCAGCGCTAGGACACAGCACATGATCTTGGCAGTATCGATTCCTTCACTACCTTCCACATCTTCGCTTCCAGAGTTGACCAACTTGGCAATTTCTAGGCAAGAAAGTTTTAACGACTGCTACTGTTACCGAAGTTTCTCAAGAACCCCTTTCAATGTTACAAGTTTCAATTTAAGACCCCAAATCTACCTCACATTTAAAGCCCATTTCTCAAGCAATGAAGTTAGAAATAAAACATCACTAATTTTTGTACCTGAACTACAGACTGTAACTGTTTCAGGGGAGCACTTCAGTTTTCTTTACATACTCTGCACATCACACTCACACACTCCTACTTATATACAGTTCCATAAATGACATTTGTGCAGCAAATCACAGTTTGGTTGCCTCTGAACTAAAGTGGCTGTGAGCTCCTTCACTGGTTTACACTTCTGTCCTTCACCATTTCTGGCTCAACTAAGTGTATTAAACACCGAACCTCTGAAAGCTTGCATGTCCTCTCCCATGTTTAAAAAATAATAATTAAAAAAAATAAACAAAAACACCAACAAAAACAAGTGCTCCTGCCAGTAACAGGGTGAGTACAACCTTATAGATTATATATAGTCAGTCGAAATAGAGTTTGAAGGCATGTTTGGATTCTAGAGAAAACGGTCAGAATTGTGCCACTTTGGCAGCACTAATTTCCCTATGGCTTTGGTTATGTTGATCTCCATTCCTGTTTCGCAGAGCCCACAGCTACATACATTATATCCAAGTATACGTCTGAAACTCCATAACCTTTGCCAGAGTAACTCTCCAGGAAGCTCTCCTGACCTTTACTTAAGATAAAGAAACCAACTGAAATGAAGAAATAAATGTTCCTTTGATAATACTGTGTAAGCTGTGGCTAAGTAACTTTGAAATACAACAGCATTAATAAAACAGCCATATTAGGAGAATTTCTTTATCACCAAAAGCAGTGAGCAGCTTCAATAGGGCTTTCATTCACAGTTCACAAATTATTTTCCAAGAATCATTGACTTGTTGTGTAACTATAATTGTGGGTTAATAGAAGCCCTAACTGAACTTTGTACTCTTACACAAAGGACATATGCATACATGACTATATTTGGACACAGCTCTGTAGATAGGATAACACATCTGATTTTCAACTTATAGAATAGTTTTGGCTTCCATATTATAATTAAAAAAAAAAAACAGTCTTTGAATACAGAAATGGAAAAAAAAAACCCAACAACAACAACCAAACCTGTTACAAAGGGCACCTTTAAAAGTGACTGTGATCATTGGTTGGTATATGTATAGGAACTTCTAGAGAGAAACAAAAATAAATTGCTGCTGTGCAGGTACACTAACAGAGTCCAGTGGAAGAAAAAAACACTTTTTTTTTCTTTTTTTTTCTCTCCTCGCCATGTTGTTATGAATACTCTCAATAAATTCTAAAAACAGTTTCTAAATATCTGAGAAAACCCTCTAAAAACTTTATAAGAAAACTCAACAAATCTGAATTTTTTTTTTGAGTTAAAGACTATTCTAATGCAATTCTTTCTAATCTCTCTAATTTTAATCCTAATATTTCAGTACATGAATGCTGTATTTAACAGCTCTCTGGTTTAGTGAACTGCAGTAATTCATTCTGATAGGATAAATTATTTAAGTTATTTAGCAAAACGGAAAAGCTACCGTGCGTTCTGCTGCAATCAGCAGACACAGTGTAGAAGAGGCCTCTGATGATGGAGGGAAGCCTCGCCATGAGGAAGAAAGATGCATAAAGAAGCTGGAAGAAGTCTGTGACTTTATCAGAATAACGTTTCTCATGTCATGTCTTTAATACGCCCTTGCAACCATCCAAAAACCACAGAACAGCAGGTACAGCCAAGGGGAGCCAGCGTTTAACAGAACAGTAGCACTTTAGCAGGAAGAAGGAAGATTTGAGAGGTACGAGTTTAAAAAAAATAAGTTTGGGCACACGTTAAATAAAGTAGCAAACAATGCAAAGCATCCAGCTTAACAAAACTCCTGCTTCCTCCCATTAATTCAAAGGGAAATTTTGTTTGAGTAACAAAACGCCACATGCTAAGAGGACTTAAAAATGCTGGAGCAGTGGCTGTATTTGATTGATTATGTGGAGAATTTTACTTATTTATCGATACACAAAACGAGGCGAGCTGCCCGATTTCTACTCAGCAGAACTGCCTCCTACGTCTCACAGTTTCTGATCTGTACCGAGTCAACATGCTCCTCTCCTCGCTCCACCTCCACAACATGAGCTTCTCCTTGCCTCTCCAGGGCTGTGGGGTGGGAATTATAGGAGAGGGCCCCCTGCTAAAGGTTATACCTTCAGCCCAAACAACTTCTTTTGGCTGCACACCAAAATGCCACTTACTTTACCTATTCAATGTGCTGATGTCACCGACCAGTGAAAGGAGCTATCACATGTCCGCAGATGACACATAAATAACAAATATTAAGATCCAGATATAAATATACAAATACATATATTTAAGAAAGTGATGATTCACATTATACTTACAACTTTCAGCCTGATAGTCTGGCACAAACTGCTCATCATTGTCAGGTACCTGAGCTGAGGAAAGGAAAACGAAAACAAAAAACAAACAAACAAAAAAACAAAAAAACAAAAACAAGGAAAGAATTAAAAGAAGCCATTAAAGCATAAATAAAGACTCTTGTGCTTAATTTGAAAGACGGCCAAGATTAAAATTAGGATTTTTTTTCTCATTGTTCAGTATGAAAATCAGGCAAGCGAATCATTTCAATATCAGCTAAACCCTGGGGTGGAGCTGTGCGGTGCGGCACGAGTCCAGAGCAGCCCCGGCACAGAGCGATGGGGACAGGAGGACGTGAAGGCTGACACTGGCACTGGCCCTGCCTCACTCCTTGCACCAGGGTCTGGACCTACCATGCCACTGGTAAAAACCATTCGTGCTCATTTTCAAAATATCTGCACGGAAAGTCTGCATAAAAACCAAATCCTCATGTTTAACACCTGTGCATTTTTAACCCCAAACCACCACACCTTCAGCTTGCTTGAAGGGGATTCCAGTTTTTCATGGCAGTCAGCCAACACGGTAGGGGGTTTTTGTTATTGTTTTAAATACTCAAAAAGAATTATTTTACCATACCACAGAATTCCTGCTTCAAGGACAACATTTCAGACATCGAAAAAGAAGACTTACTTAAAGTAAGAACCATTATTATCATCCATTCACCATCCAGTTTTAGGAAACTTTCATCACAAACCTGAGCTATAAAATACAATTGTTTCATGGTCTGCTGATATAAAATTTTGTGTCTGTGATAACACAGTTCCTTTTCACTGTATATCTAAGACACTAGCCATCTTTTATACTGTTTTGTAAACTCATTTAAATAATTTAAGCTGAAATACCACTGAACAGGTATTATACGAGAGTACATTTGAATAACTGCAGAACATAATGCTGAGAAGCGGCATCCTCAGAGCACGACCGGTTCTGCGTACATCCCGAGAGAGATCCAGCTTACCAGATCTGAACTTCGTCATCTTTGCCTCAACATACACTAACTGGAATCGTCACAGCAAAGCCGCATAAAATCATCTGTTTGAAAATATTTTAATGTACACAGTCTTTGTCTAAAGACAAGCAAATAATTCATATGATCTGAATTAAAAGTTAACATCTGCCATGACCTGGTTACCCATCAAGATTTGACAGGTAAATACTGATTATATTATCATTTATCGAAACTGTGACTATCAAACCATTAAACACATTAAAGGATAAAATATAACTTTAACACCATTCAGAACACTTTCTAAGTTTAGGAAGCGTAAGTTCTCCTTTATATATGTGCAATTGCTACTAGTTTCAACAGAAGTTTTTACAAGTAAAAATACGTAAAAATACGTATTTAATAATAATTGCTCACAATTATTTTGAATGTTCACTACAGTACTCTTCATGGACCAGATCTCTACTCTCTACTCAGGAAATATTTCTAATGACTTAACTGGAAGTTTTTTCCTGGGTAAAGAGTTCAGAATCAGGCTTATTATATCAAAAAATTATTTGCTCTCAGTTTTAAAACAAATGTTTAAAGTCCTACTGTCTTAATTGCAGCAAATATTCCTTAAGAACAAATGACCTTGGGTAATCTGCAAACATAGGTTTGAAAAGAAGTGTGAGCAAGATAAATACATGATGGGTAATTGGCATTACTCTGAAAAAAAGCATAGCTATTGTTGCTTTGTTGTTTGGTCTTTTAAATAAAAATAAAAAAATTACAGTAAGCTATCCTTTTAGAAGAAACAAGTACATCTGAGGACACGTTAGCTCCTCAAAGTTTGAAGCGGTATAAAACATATATTTTACTATAACCAATATTCACTATATTTTTTACGCATTAAACTTCTCTTCCGTCCAGAGAAGCCACAGGTCTTTTACCAGAAATGAACTCAGGGACAATATGAGCCCAAATACAAACACTGCAATTTCTGGCATTTCATGCAATTCACTGCATGTGAATGTTAGGCACTTTCCTTACAAAAATGCCAAATATTTGACTGTCACAGAAGAAGTCAATTATAAAATCAAGGTCTCCTACTTAAAAATCAGTTCCTAAGGATTTTTTACATTTCCAATTGTTTTTGAAGGGTTTGTGAGTACATTCAGAGTTAAAGTAATTGTATTAAGTAATTTCTTGTTTACAGAAGACGCATCCCACACATTTTTCTTAAGCCAGCTATCATTTTCAAATGTAGCAAGGAGGCTCGTATGACACACACACATACATTTTTTTATACATGTGTATCTATATATATATGTATGTTATGTGAAACCAGGTTATCTGAAAAACGCTAAAATAAATCAAAAATCCCTCCTGTTGAAATCAGGAGGCTACACTTACTGATTGCAGAACCGGAACAGCAATCTTACATAACTTTCTAGAGTGTACTCTGCGTGTCTGTCTGCTTCACTGATGCTTTATTCTGTTTTATCAGTTTAACTTGACTTACTCCAGAATGAATTTGTTATAGAGATTTACGTATATATCAGTAAATGAGGTCCTTTTTTATTCAGCCAAAGAGTAAGAAAAAATAAAAAGCATCTGGTTGAACTGTCACGGAAAACCAGTATATCACTTTAGAGATATTGTCATTACCCCTGATTTGGTCTGGAGTAAACAAGAAAAACATACTTCATTCAGGGACCCTCAAAATTTATAAAGGGATATTTAATAGAGATCGAGGTGCACCACTTTATCAGTACTCTAGAAATAGGTGGGGACTATGCTGTCAAAATGCATTTTAAATACAATATTGACGTAGCCTTAAAAGCCTCTGTAGGAAAAGGAATATAGCAAGTTCAGAAGCGTTTAAAATCCTGCCAAATATAAACAACAAAAATAAAAACATCCAAAGGTTCAACGCAGGAACACATATTTCCTACTGGAATTTTAGTAGCGTCAATACCTTAGAAACAAGCCCACAAGCCTACAGAAAAAAATTAAAAGGACCCGCTAACTGTTGGAAATAAGAACTTAAACTATTCCTTCGTTTAATCTGATATTATTTTTAAACCAGCAGAACTGAAACTCACACATGATCATAACTGCAGAAATGCAAGCAACCATCATCAGCCCAATATACAGACTTCTTCCACCAGCATCTTGCTGTGAGAAGGCAAATTGTTGGGATACATCATCCCATTCCTCAAAGGCAAGAGGGCTCTTGTACTTCTAGTTTGGACAATTACAGGCAGACTTTGTAGCAAATTAAACAGGCTGGTAAAGACACTTCAACCTGAATGTCTGAAAGAAAAATGTTAACTTGCAGTGTTGCAACTGTCTGCGCATTTATATATGTATGCCATCCATTTCCTGTTTTCTTTTATTCACAAATACTCCAATCCAACAAGACTGCCATAAAATCTTCATTGGTCTTCCGTTAACATACTCAACACACGACAGAATGCATAAATCACTGAAACTTTTTTTTTTCCACTCTCAGAGGAAAATTGAAAAAGATACCTGAAATGATCATCTAACCGAACATTTCCCTGAGCTACTACACTATGGAGGTTTGAGAAGGCAAGTATATTCTAAAAGACTAATAAAAGGGTTTGAAGGATATTAAGCACGTGGCTCTTACTGCTAATAGCAGAAGCAGCTACATCAGTTCATTCCACATTCAGAATCATCAAGTCTCAGACTCCTGAAGCAGACAACATCTGCAGCATAAGCTATCCAGCTCAGTCTAGATTATTACCAAAAGTTTTCTTTTTCTTCTGATTATAGCTATAATGTCTCAAGAGGATTTGGGAAGTGTACAGAAATGTTAATGATGATCTTGACGATATTATCAGTTTAGATTTTACAGTGTCACTACCTACTGAGTCAAAATCAGTTTGCCAAAAGCAAACATTCACAGCACAAAAATACTTAATGCTTGTTTGTAGTTTTTGGAGCTTTAAAAAGCCTTTGAAAACTTGAAGTGACAGCTCATTTTGCAAAGGGAAAGCAATTTGGAAAAAAAAAGTTTAAAACTAGAGCCTGTTAGCTTGCTTTCATGGCAAATAAACAAAAATAAAAAGTCCCCATTAACAAGCATCCAGGACAAAAGGAGTTAATATTTAATTAAAACCAGCTCTATCCACTGTAACAATGACCTGGAGCCAAACAAGGCAGAAGATGTATGAGTCATTCTTTCTGCCAGTGAATGAGACAGCTGATCTCCGAAGCAATTCCTCAAGACAAGCAGTCAGAACTGGAGTTCTGCCTCCATTCACAAAAACACAGTCCAGCATGAACCATGTGGCCCCAACCACAAGCTTTTCATGTCACACCCTTCCAGAAAGCTACAGCAAAGTAAACTTGAACTTTAGGCATAAACACACTGATTTCACTGCTTTGTCTCAAGATGCAGCACAGACCTGCTGAGGAATGAATGTATTTAATAAATGAAATGTTAAGCGAACTATAAAGGCCTTAAATTTAACTCTTCCTTCTCCCAATCACACACTGCTTCCAACAGCTCAGCTGCACTCCAGGGAAAGGTGTTCCTGTTAAAAAACGGAAACTTTCCAGAAAAACAAGAAGCTGCAAACCTCCTCGCTTCACTTAAAACTTTATTTTGGGTAGCAGAACACTTCCTGCAGTACTGTGTTCTCTGACCTCAAGCTTCACTTTTAGAAATAAGGGCAATTCGTTTTAAAATATCAATGATTTATTCAAAGTGGCAAAAGAAATTGAAATTGACAGGGAACTATATATGAACAGTAGTATTTTGGCTTCAGCTAAAATAAGACTTCAGGCCTCAACAGTAACGAGTCTATTGAGTTTTCTTTGATTCATTGCCACTGCTGAATATCTGAAAGATTGTATAAATTTCAAGTATTCCTGAAAGAACTGGGGGGGTGGGGAAGGGAGTTCTGGTTGTTGTTTTGGTGGGGTTTTTTTCCACAGGAACAACTGTTTCTAACAAAGGAGCATTCAGAAGGCAAAACAGTGACAAATTTCAAGATGGTAAAAAATATTATTTCCCATAAGCACTGGATTTGCTGTCAAAACAACCCCAAACCCTTTTTACATAAAGCGAGATGCTCTGACTAATAAACTTAAATGCAGTTCAAAACTAGCTCCAGATCTCAAAATTCTTCCGTATGTGAATAATCCCTAGGAATATGAAGATGGGTTTGCAGAATCTGCTCTTCATTTGCTGCTATACTAAAAATGAGAAAAAGTTAGCTTAAAAGGAACACTTGCATTTAACATTTCGCTACATCCCTCATGGTTCACAAACCCCACTATGCCTTTGAAAATTATTATTTTGAGTAAAAAGGCATTTACTTCTCCAGCAAATAAGAAAAACATTTAAAAGTTTATTGCTACAGGGACTTTCAGACTTGTAGATTTCTCATGGATTTTTTCTTTTGGATTTCTTTTTAAAAGAACACCTTTCCCCCATATTTTGCCTAACCTAATTTTTCCCCGTTTTATTGTGCACAGATATTTAAGATCAATAGTTGTGAGTACTTAAAAGCCAAATCTGTCAGATCACTGGAATAAAAAAAAAAAAAAAAGCTATTCTCTGTGTTACAAATTCAGAAATGAAAAACTTTTCACTGTTTTTTAGAGCATTTGTCCCCATCAGACTGCTCTCAGCCATGGAGGTATTAAATTATCCTTTCCTGATTATTCTTACTCCTATAAAAATATGGATAGTTCTTAAATATGGCTACATAGCTTTTGCCTTACACTGGGTAAATTTTACAACTTTTTGGCAGAAGAAAGCTAGTTAGCTATAGTAAGCTGCTACACATCTACTGATCTAAATGAAGTCACTCTAACTAAACTAGTATTTGAAGATTTGGTACTTTCTTTGAGAACTAGAAACGACTTATTTTCATACCTCATCATTTAGGAAATAAATTAGAAGTCAACACTAGCTTAGACATCACCGCCAACACTGCTGTATCCTTCACAATAGGAGAACAGAGGGCAGAAACTTATTTCCTAATGTTCATTTCAAATTTGGATATTAAATATTTGAGAGAAATAACTTACTTTTCAATATCAAGAACCAGCTTTTAAATACCAGCTTGTAGTAGCCATCCACTCAATTTAGCTAAGCTGCAGTAGAGGCTTGAATCCGTTACCTGTAGCTATTATCTCAAACTACTTAGTGTCCACTTAATCTTTTTGTACTTTTTCAAGTCATCCAAAGAACATTATAGTTTATTTTACAGTTTATTGCCATTGAGAAGCATATTATTTATTCCTCTAAGCAGCAGATTTAATGCATAAATTCATTACTTGCCTTTGCTTGGGATGCCTTTTACGTATCTTTATCAAGCTGCAGGAGAAACTGGTATCCGAAAGAGTGATTTTAAATAAAATCTAGTTTTTTGTTAATCTATTATTCCCCAAAAAACAAACGTTTTCACCATGGAAAGGAGACTTTCTCTCACTAAGAAGTTGTTATTTCTCTTCTTTTTATTCCAGAATAAGAAGTAAGAGCTACCATGATGAGATAACACTAGATTAATATTTGAACCATTTTTTTCAAGTCACTGACCAATTGCTATCCGCCAAAACCAATCTGATTCCAAATATACAGAATCAATAAAGTTATTTTATAATATTATCGTGACAAAACGCTGTCATCTAGTTATTTAAATATAAAACAAAAGATAATATCTGAATAACAATTGCCTTGGTTAGCAATAGGCAATTTTAACCATTTCCTTTCAAGTTTGAAGATTGAGACAATTATGAAAGGCTTTCCACTTTCAATTTCTGGCATCAGGAAACTGTTTTAATCTATCTCTGTCCTGCATAACAATTGACATGAGAGAACTTTAATCAGAGTAAGCTTTACACCGAAATAATTTATATTCTTCCTTACATATTTAATACTACAGAGAGCAAGAAGCAAAACTCATTTCCATAAAAGTCTAGTATGCAGCTAGTGGAACACATTTGTAAGTTTTCTGTAAGTAGTATTCAGCTTGTTAATCATGGAATAATAAAATGTTAAAGACATCACTGAATTGTTTACATGTTGGATTAATTCTTTAATACATGTGAACCTCCCATCATTTTCAATAGGAAAAGAATACATTTCTATTTACTTGTTTACCACCAACTTGTCACAGGTGACGCTAACTGTAAAAATCTCCAGACTAAAATATGTGATGTAGTAAGGATAGCTTCAGGAAAAGCAAAACAAAAAAATCCACAAGCATTTTTTGTGTGTCATAAAATGCAACTCACTATCTTCTCCTAAGTAGATTTTTGACCTGGTTACTCCCCAGTGGGGATCTGAACTCGTGGGAGAAACCTGGTCAGCTGCCACTGCTTTTCTTAAAAAGGGTCAAGATGTTTTAAGATTTCATGGTCATTTCCCTGGCTCCAGAGCATTATGAAAAGAAATATGTAAACATTACTCATGTTGCCAAATTGGCAGACTTCTAGCCTATGAAGGTCCAGAAGAACATAAATGGACACATCTAGCAATGGGTAAACAAGTTTGATTTCAAAATCTGTTTCCTGGCTAAGCTCATCCATGTAGGCATTTGAGCAGAGCTACAATATGCTCAAACACTAATATATTATGAAGATTACTAAAAGTTGTTTGGGGTGAGTTTTTTAAATAAAAATCTGGGACAAAGTTAATAGCTCAATATTTGATTTTCTCATCTTGACTTTCAGTTTTAGTTTAGCCTTTAGAAAAACCGTGCAAAGTTTGTGTTTTATGAAACATCTAAAACCATGGTGTGGCCTGAAACACGTAGATTTTTTAAAATATTTCTAGAACATTGAAAAATCTGTAATATTTATTTGTAATATGCTGGGGAAAAATACAATTATAACACTATTTAGCTTTATGATCCTCTGCTAGATAAAAAGGCAACTTTTTTTTTGTTTTTAAATACTTACCAGATGATGCTGTCTGCTTTTACAAAGGTACCTTAACCTAGCTAACAGAGGACTAGACACTTTTCTTTCTCCAAACCTATCTAAATTTATTAAGTGAAATAGACTCAGCTAAAGAGAAAAAAAGGCTTTCAAACAATTCATTCTAGTCTAAAATAAGCAGTGCCTCTAGAATAAAAATTGTCATTACAGTAATTTATATACCTGCAAAAATTATTACATCAGTTTTAAATTACTTATTATTTTTCAAACTTACATTATTATCTGCACATGCATTATGAATTTGTCTGCATTTTTCTGACTTATGATCAAAGAAATTTAATCATTTTCAGAAACAAAAACGTCCATGTCAGTGAAAAATCAAGCTAAAAGTTCTTCTCTCCATCAAAAAACAGTATCTTTGGAGTAGTATTTTAACATATTTTCGGCTTGTTAGAATGAATGAGATGATACAAAATAAAGAGATCCTTAGGAAAATTACCACAGGGAGACAGAAACAGTTGTATCTGATCATTATACTACAAAAATGATCTTAGTATAGGACATCCTGTCTTCAATGATTAGGAAAGGATCACATTAATTCATAAAAATATATCCTCTGATCCATTAATTTAAAGAGGACTTTTTGATTATATACCAAATAATCACATGCTAAAAATAATGTTAGGAGAATAAAAATGTCTGAAAAATAAACAATACCCCACAACTTACTTACAGGTTAAGAACTTGACTAACTATATATAAAGATGTTTAAAATAAAATCAGTATGTAGGTAAGCAGTCATCAGCAGTATTTCCCTCCTTCTATGAAAACCAACAGCAAGCAGTTAACCCCAACATCCCTCTTTTCCCAAAAAAGCATAACATCTATTCTATAAACAACTCTGCATAGTCCAGTACATGATAAAAATTAAACATATGTGAATAGTCACATCCACTTAAATCAAGATAAATTTGGAGAGACTATGTTAACTTGCATCGAAATTATGTTTATTTCAGATGCAGAAGTTTATATATGAATTTCAACCGGAAATATTAAGAACAGACAATGCATAAAAATCTTCATGCTTGAAACAAACAGTATTGTAAATATCAAAGAAAAAAAAATCAGAAAACATTGCTGAAGAGAACAAATACACTTCAACAAACAGAAAGCTACCTTGCATTTTATTAAAGTTCTCTTAATGCAGCAGCACATTTTTTGTTATTGTTAAATGAATCTTCCAACAGCTACTCTAAATTCAGATTTCTACATTATTGTTCTAAAACCTTCTCTCTTTAGTAGAATGTGCTCTGCAAGATTATCTGAAACACTTAAAAGCACAAGCAGGTGTAAAACAGAGCGATGTCAGTTTTCTAATCAGCCAGTACACAATCTCACAACTACAAATATGAAGACAAAAATAACATGCAAAATATTTAAAGGTTTCTGAAAAAAAAAAAAAAAAAGAAATAGTACTTTTTAAGTATTCCATACACACCTAATGTTCTGTGTTGTGAACAAGGTGGAAAGAAGACACTTGCACTTAAATCTTGAAGCATCCCGTCCCGATGAACCCAGAGAAACTAATTTCTGCCATCAGAAAAGTACTCCACCAGAACACCAAATAATTATATGTGCTGCTCTAAAGGAAACAGCAAGCCCAGTTCTGGCTGTATGTAGTCTCTCGAGGTACAATAATATAAACCTGATCAATTGCAATTAAAATCTGAACAGAGGCTTAGAACTTGAAGTCTTGGTGCATTAGTTCTTGCCAAAAGCAGATGTGATTGTGAGCTGGAAGCAATTTCTCCTGGTAATTTGTGATGACACTGGGTAGAGCAGCCCCAGAGTCCCCAAAGACAAACTCATCAGAGGCTCTAATGTATGCATGACACATGAGGTGGCTCTTTTAGAGCTCAATTAATTGGGCTGAACATTAAGACAGCAAGTTCAGGACTTTTTTTTTTTCCCCCCCCTTCAGAGTTGTTTTTCCTCTTTTTACAAGCAATTTTTTCCCTTACCTTCTGCAAGCCACGTCTCCTGTAATTGGCTCAGATCTTGAAAGAGTTCTGCAAAAAGACAAAGACATGGATAAAAGACTCATACCTTTAATCTTCATAAGATTAAAATATGCTCAAAAATATATTTTTCCTGAAGAACAATGTACGTGAATTCTATTTTGGCAGCCAAATATACAGACGAAGTAAATATTTTCAGGTTCAAGTTAATGATTTTTCTACACCTGTTAATTAAAAAAAAAGTACTTACTGTATTATTTTATCAGCTCCTGAAATAATAACCAGAATCTTAAACAAGTTCTATATTACAAAAGGCTGATTCAGTTAAAAATTATAACCTTTCTTACAGGTGAACTACTCCTCCTTACACAATTCAGGCCTCCTCCTGCAATATCTGCCCCAGATTAAGCTCTCTCGGACTTCAACAGGAGTTCTGCCTGAGCAATGACTGAGTATTTTTATTAGTAGGGTTGTACCTATCGTATAAAAATTCTGAAGCAAAGACCTGAGATGCTGCAATAGCAAACAGAAACAGGAAATCTTTTGTACTTCCTCTTATGTTTTACTTTGTATGACAAGAGAATCATCACTATTTCCTCTATGCTGTACTCACTGTACTTTTTTAAAGTGAAACCACTTTGTCCATGGACTGAGTTTTGCAGCAGCTTATCTTTTTTTGCAATTCACTGAAATAAATTGCTTACAATGGGTGTAAACCAGACCAGCATTTGGACTACTTGCAAAGCTCAGAAACTCAGTTATGAAAATTCTGTTTGCTAAGATTAAGTAGGATATTTGAACTGACAAACGGCTTATTTTTAATTTACTGTATTTTGAGAGAGACTTCCTCTTTTATGAATGCTGACAGATAACTATTTACATACACTTAAATGACAGAGGCTATTCATTTATCCTGTGGACTGATACCTCGTGTTCTTGTTGGGAAATTATTTAATTGAAAAGCAGAAAGATTATTTCTTTCCAATCTACTCCAGAATAAACTTTCCCAAACAAGTAAGTAGGGATTTTGAAAAGTGTATCAATGTGTCCTTACCCTGATAAGATTTATATAGAACTAAGTTGCAGGCCCCTGTATACCTTCCTGTATGTCTTACATACTTACAGAAGTGTAGGCATAGCATCTATACTGACCTTGTAACCTAAAGAGGTGTTAACAGCTATTGCTAGACTAGACTTCTCAAGGTACAATCATGTGAGTGGCTACTGATGGGACTAAGTTACAAATCTTTGGCCCGCCAAAACTTGGTCCATTCCAGACTTCCTTAACTGAATTTCCCAGAATTTTTAAGCCTACCAGTGTTACACAGCAACAGAAACAGGCTATCAGACACCAGGAGCCTGACTGTCAGCTTTACAGTAAAGCTAGTGTGAAAACCAAGTCTCCACACTAGCACTCTAGCTCCTGCTACCACCGGTGAACACACACTACTAAAAAGGATGTTAAAAGATGAGAGAAATGAGGAAAGCCCTGAATCTCGAGAGGCCCAAAGGTGAAAAAGCCAGGTGCCATGACTCGTGTCAGATGCTGCAAAGGCTTGGTCTCAGTGTATGACATCCCTGTGCCACATGTGCAGCAGTACCTAAAATGCAACAGGGTAAGCCAAGGAAAGAATATCAACTTTATCAGTTTATTGCCTTTGTCAGTTTGTTTTGCAGTAGTAAATGTGATTTTCTTGTCTTGTTTATTCAGATTGGTCTAGATATATTTATCTCCAAAATAAACAGCTCTTAAAAAGCTTCTTTGCATTAGTAAGTAAGCAGGGCAGGGGGTTGCGGGGGGAACAACAAGCCCTCACCTTCTGAATCATGAGCCAGGTCTCTGTTAATGAATTTTCTTTTCCTGACATTTGTCGGTCTCTCATTACAGTTTCTCCCACGCGGATTCTATAAACAGGAAAGATCAGTTACTTTAGAAATCTGAGGTGTTTTTTTTTTTTCATTTAATCAAGAATACTCAAAGCTGGCATGAATTCTTTACATTTTCAAACAGGGAAATGATCGTCTTGCAGCCTCCAATTCCGAGCAAAAGATACGGCTGAGCACCTAACATCCTCCAAAACACTCCTGTGCCTAAACGCAACACATTTCTATTTATCTACGTAGACATCTGTTTGTACAGATACATGTATAACGTGTTCAAGCAGCAACACAATACCAACCACGTATTTTTAGCATCTAAAGTATACAAACCTACACAATAGCACACAAATCCTCTCTGCATAAACTACACAGAATCCAGATATGAGATTATAATGGACTGCTTTGTTTCTCTCTGTTACTTATAACACTGTTTGCAAAGTCCCGAAAACAAGAAAAAAAAAAGGGGTATAACGTGTTCAAGCAGCAACACAATACCAACCACGTATTTTTAGCATCTAAAGTATACAAACCTACACAATAGCACACAAATCCTCTCTGCATAAACTACACAGAATCCAGATATGAGATTATAATGGACTGCTTTGTTTCTCTCTGTTACTTATAACACTGTTTGCAAAGTCCCGAAAACAAGAAAAAAAAAAGGGGGGGCGGATGCAGGCAAACGCAGCCAGAAACTTTGAATGCAGCTGCTGCTGCTCTTGCCTCTCTCATCCGCTAATCATGTGCATGATTTTTTAATCATCCCAAAACTGTCTTTAAAAGAACATGATGCTTTATTGAAATAACTAAGACGACAGGCTCATCTTGCAGGCAAAGCTCTCAGATGAAGAGTCGCCCCTACAGCGGTAACAAAGCAGATACTCTGTCTGCAAAACTCCCCCACAGAAATAAGTCGGAGTCAAGTTTATAAACACCAACTTTGAACTGATCACTCACATTGGTGACCATGTAAGGCACTTGCTGGTCATAAAATCCATCCATTCTGCAGCT